ATTGTATACAAAACTAAACTGCTGACCTAGCTGATTTAAGAAGACGAATAATGCTTGCGATTAGATTGGTTACGCCTGAAATGTATAGTAACGTTATTCTAGATTAGGATGTTGCCAAGAGGTTTGCGGCGAGATAATTTTGAAGATCTCCTACATTGATATGTGTTTTTCCTACATTAAGATGTATTTTCCTGCATTGATATTTTTTTTTGTTATACAGTGCAACCTCTTTAATCCGAACACCTAATTGTCAGACCTTGTTCGGATTATCGAATTGTTCGGATTAACGAATATACAATAAAACACCTCTTACACATTTTTAGACCTTTAGATCTATGTATGTACATGTATTGATTTTTGTACATTTAAATGCATTATCAAACTACATATTTATGTACGCAAATGTAACTTACGTACTAGAAAAATATGTATGTAATGTTATTTTAACAATTTAAAGAACAAAAATTAAACTAAAAATAAAGCGTCGATTTTTTTCTGAAACGGTGAAAAAATTTGTAATTTTTGTCTGTTTCTTATTTTTAAACGCTGCATCTTGGACTTGAACTCTTAATTCCTGCAAGAAGACGACTTGATGTTCGGGAACCTTATTTTGTGTTGCCCAAGCAATACAAGTAATAAAAGCTGACACTGCATCATCATCTTTCACTAAACACGCAATTTAGAAAATATCGTCGGAATTGTCATCAGAATCGGAATCAACATCAATATTTTCAGTTAATTCGTTGCTGATTGCTTTATCATTTACTACCCAATTTTCGATCTCTTCATTTGTTAAGGTCTGGTCAAGTTTCTTACTCAACTACCTAACCTCTTCCAGTTCATTTTGAATCTCTGTGGGTTCTGTCTCTCTAACTTGTCTGACTAACCGAGCTAGCGGGATATCCTCTTCTTCATCACTGTCACCAACATTTTCTTCTGGTATCTCAGTTGGCAGCAGTATTTTACTCCAAGATTTTGTTATCAAGCCAGTGCCCACATTTTGCCAAGCCTCGTTCAAAGAGAAAACAACGTCATTCAGAGTTATTTCCTTCAGTGTTTGCAAAATAACACAATCAGACGCAACAATTTTTTGAAGTAATTTCTTACGATAAAATAATTTTATGGCCTGTATAACATACTGATCCATTGGTTGGATCAATTGCGTACAATTTGGGGAAAGGAAAATCACAGAAATCTTGTTATCGTCGATAAACAATTGAGTAGGGTGCCCAGGTACATTATCTAAGATTAAAACTGCCTCCGGACTGAGGTTCAGCTCTTCCATTTTACGCCTTACTGATGGAACAAACTCACTGTGGAACCACTCAGTGAATATTTCTCTCGTTACCCAAGCCCTTCGTTGACCTTTTTACGAAACAGGAATGTGAATATTTCTGGAAGCACGGGGTTTCATGCTTTTACCAAGGACCAACAATTTTAGTTTGTGGGATCCAGAGGCATTGCAACAGGGCATAAAAGTTACTCGTTCTTTACTCACTTTTCGTCCCGGAGCTGATTTTTCTCCTGAATGAGCTAACGTTTTGTTTGGAAAAACTCTCCAAAAGAGCCCACTTTCGTCAGCATTATACACTTGGTGAGAAGTCAAGTTTTTTTTCTTTCATTATACGAGCAAAGCTTTCCAGGTCTTTACTGTCTTTTCCTTTCAGCGTTCGGATTATAGAGGCGGCGTTCGGACTATCTCGCATCACGATTTGCGTTCGGATTAGCGTAATTCGAATTAGCGTGGGTTCGGATTATCGATGTTGCACTGTATTATCAAGAAATAAATATTATTACTTATTAGTTTTTGAGTGTGTTGTAACGAATTTCTGTAATCAAATAATTTTATTTTATTAATGCTAATTTTTGCAATAAATCGGAAAACATTTAATATTCCCGAAACAGTTAGGTATACGACATAGTGCATAAAATATGTCTAGAATTTTCTGAAGAATCCAAAAATTGAAAAATATACAGGATGTTGCATTTAAAATAAGAAAGTTGGTAGTGGCCACTGTTACATGACCCATTCTGTATAAAAAGCTTTATTAAAAAAAATGCGTAACTTAAAATACCAATTGACGTGTTTGAGCGCTTTTCCGAACACGCCCCCGTTTATTGATTACCAAATTTATTCGAATGAATTAAGGTTTTCGAAGAAATCCAAAAATACGTCGTTTGTTTTTAAGGGGCCACCTTTTGTCGCAAAAAGCATAGTAAAAGCTTTAACCCCCTCAAAAGGGATCTTATCTTTTATTTTTTTTTAGAAGAAGGACGTCAAGTGATACCTCATTATAAGGGTCTTATCATTCCCTATACAACGCTGCTGAGTTTTTAAAAATCGAGCCACTTGCTTAAAAAATTAAAAGTTTTACAATATCGTATTAGTTAAATAAATTCTCAAAGTGTTGCCCGCCAACTTGCATTAATAGTGATAAGTAATTTTCCAACCGTGTCACTTCGCAACATGCGTTAATGATTCTTCTTCGCAACTCTTCTAATCTGCCAGGTACAGTTTTGTAAACTACGCTTTTTATGCGTCCCTAAAAGAAAAAATCTAAAGTACTTAAATAGAGTGACCGAGGTGGCTACTCAGTTACGTCCCTTCGTCCTATCCATCGTCCTGGAAATGTGTCATTTAAATAATTGTTAGAACTGCGTCGATGGCGTTTTGTAGTAAATTCAAGTATATCGCTTGTTAAATTTTCAGGAAGAAAAAAAAGGGCCTACAATAGAATTTCAAAAAATACCAGCCCATACATTTAATTTTTCGGTGTGTTGTGTGTGTGTCTCGTGGAAAAGCCTTGGATTGCTGTCCGTCCAATAACGGCAATTGTGGCGATTCTCTAAACACCATTAAATAGAAAATTATCATTGTTTAACGCTCGCTCACTCATAATTTCGCAAAATTGCGAGCGAGGAAGTCGTCTTCATTCAGTTCTTGCACTAAGCTAATTTTATAAGGATGGAATTTGTATTTTTTTAATACCCTTTGGAAACTTTTACGAGACACACCCGTTGCGATGGTCACTTATCTCAGCGTACTATCCAGTGTAACTTGCCCCAATAATGCTATCTCCGTAGGTTTATTTAAAACTGAATTTTCAAGATGTCTCTTTTTGTTGTGAACCGAATCTGTTTTGCAAAGTTCTGTCACCAATTCGCGAACAGTTTTCCCAAAGAGATGTTTATCAGGATGCCGTTTGTTAAACAGCTCTGCGACCCGATTTCCACATTCATTGTTTTTAAAAAAAGCTCAATAATTTCCACTCTTTCTTCAATTGAGTACACCATAATTGCTAAAGGTAATGTCTACATTGACAATAGCACTGCAACACTAATTATAAGACAGGTATCTAGCAAATACTTTAATTTAAATGTCAAGAAAGAAACCCCGTGCTTCGAGTAAATGAAGTATTATTTTAAATCTGAAAATAATTAATGTTATTTCAAAAATATGGCAACGTTGAGCCTTTTAAGATTATAACCTCAGATTTTTGTGAAGCTAATTTCAGCTCATTTGCTTCTACTCATCTCTCTATCCTATATAGTGATTCATTAGTTTTATAATCTAAATCTTCTCTGTCTGCAGCTTCTGTTATAATCGCAAGATCATTAGCAAAAGCCACTGTTGTTGCCGCTTTCATTAATTGTATCCTTAGTATGCAATCATACACTACATTTCACAACGTGGGTCCTAATACGGATCCCTCTGGTACTCCTGCGCTTAGTTCAATATACTCATTGTCGACCCTTATATATCTGTGACTTAGATAACTCTTCATTACATTTATCAGGTATCTTGCGATTCTTTTTTCTTCCAGCTTATCCATAATTTTTCCAACGATACCATATTAAAAGCATTTTTGATATTTACGGTCACGACAATTACCCATTTTTTATTTAATTCCATTGCTCTTGTAACTACTTTTTCTATAGCTTGTATTATTGATTTCCCTTTCCTGGATCCAAATTGGTTTGCTGAAAATCCTTACTTACTTTCGATTTCTTTTTCTAACCTGTTTTTTTAGCATAGTTTCGTATAATTTCCCTAGTGAGCTAAGCAGACATATTGTCCTGCAAGGGCAGTGGCTTATCCTTTCCTTTTGGTATTAACACTACCAGGGAGTCTTCCTAGATTTTCGGAAAACTTTGGTCATGTAATAGTCTATTTAACATTTCTAGTACGGTATGTGGGCAAGTTAAATTAATTCGCTTTTTGCATTATTGTTTAACTTTAAAAACTCCAATATTTTCCAAACAAGACCCTTTTAATGAGGTATCACTTGACATCCCTTCCCCTTTAAAAAAAATAAAAGATGAGGGGGTTGAGGGGGTTGAAGGTTTCACTATGATTTTTGCGTCAAAAGGTGACAAACAAACTTGACGTGTTTTTGGATTTCGTCAAAAAGTTCTTTTCTACCCTGTAATTCCTTGCGGTACGTTGTTGATGGGCCACCCTGTATATATAATATTGGAACACAATATTATAATAAATAATGGTAATTTTAATTTATTTCTTGTTATTTCACAATCAAATGGGAATTCAATCCAAAAATACTTTGACTTCATTGACAAACATACATTTCCTACAAAGACGATAATCATGAAAATTATTAAGATGGAAGAAGAGGTAAGACCTATTAAGGATCAGTAAGTACTGAAACTATAAAATATTAAGGTAAAAATATTAATATATTTAAAAATAATGGGAAATTTATTTAATAAAAGGAAAAGACGTTGCACAAGTATCATTTTTATTGGTCGCTGTTTTTAAAGACAAATACAAATTATAAATTTTAATTCCAAATATAGATACTTCAATTAACCAAAATACAAAGTTAAATGAGTTTAGTACAAATAAATTTACAAATTTTAGTAAATATATGGATACATTCCAATGTGGTTGCTCTAATGAAATCGACGAAAGAAATTTGGTTGGACTTAATATCAAAATTTTTAAAAAATCCATTTATTTAGTTAATAATTTCTGTTCACAGGCCAGTCGGTGTCTGGGGAAAGATCGTGGGATCGCTTTGTGCGATTGCTGGTGTGCTGACCATAGCGTTGCCAGTGCCTGTCATAGTGTCAAATTTCAATTACTTCTACCATCGTGAAACGGATCAGGTTTGTAACTTCATTATTATATTTTCTATTGCGTTTATCTTAATAAAAGATATACAAATCTCTGATACAGGGAACGATGAGGCAACTCAGTTTCTTCAATTGTCAAATTCATCGAAAAGTACATCTAAATTGTTCAATATTTATATAGGGTGTCCGGGAAAATGTGGAAGGCGTCTTGGATTCAGATAGAACATTAAAAAAGAAGATGACACGTTTCCATAATTTATTTTCCTAGCAACCCTCCCTACGGATATACGGCCTCCAAAAGACGCAACTGGAAATCAATTTTTCTTGAATAACTTTTAAACTACGTAATATAATTTAATGAAAATTGAATATGATAAACAGTAGTAAGAACCCCTTAAAATACTGCTCTTAAAACATAATAAGTTTGTTTAGTTTACCAGGGGGGACTAGGTTGTACATTGTAATGCTTACATTTTTAACACTGGTAAATTTAATTCGATACTGGGATACACATTTAGTGAGTATGCATATATGCATCTTATGTACGGTCTTGCATCTTGCAATGTTTATGAAGCAAAAAGGTTGTATGAAGAAAGATATCCTAATCGTAATATTCCAAATGAGAAAACATTTCAGTGACTTGACCAACGTCTAAGAAAGACTGGTGGGCAATTCTCAGTTAATAAGGTAACATTATTGACTTTCTTTAATAATTTTTAGGAAGTTTTGGGAAAAAAGTGCTAATGCTGGTGTAACAAAAACAGTACGTACGGTGCAATTGGAGGAAAATATTTCGATACTGTAGCTAATACTTTTTCAATAAGCACTCTAAGATTAGCCACGCAGCTTCATGTATCAGAAACGACAATTGCTGAAGTACTTAAAGAACAGTTGTTATACCCTTATCATCTGCGAAAAGTGCATCAGCTACTTCCTGAAGATTTTCGTCGAAGATTCCTGTTCGCAAACTGGCTGTTAGATCAGCAAGGAACAAACGGAAACTTCATAAGCACTATTCTTTTTACCGATGCAGCAGGGTTTACTAATATTGGTATTGTAAATTTACATAACTCGCATGTATGGGCTGATGAAAACCCTCATGCCACTGTTGTTCATCATTATCAACATCAGTTCCAATCAATTAATGTTTTGGTAGGAGTATTCGGCAATTTTTTGATTGGATCATGCGTATTGCCGCCACGATTGAATAGTGAACTTTATTTACAGTTCCTTCGGAACGCCTTTCTGGATTCAATAGAGCATTTACCACTCGAAACCCGCCGAAGCATGTATTTTATGCATGATGGAGCCCCACCTGACTATAGCGTCGCTGTACGGGACCACCTGAATAACTTCTATCGCAACCGCTAGATAGGGAGAGGAGGTTCAATTTCCTGGCCTCTACGGTCTCCCGACCTACAACAATGGATTTTACCTGTGGGGTCATCTCAAACCCTTGGTGTATTCCTCTCCGGTTGATACTACCGAGGATTTTTTTACAGAAAATCACATTTCATTGTGATGTGATAAGGAACAATGTTGGGTTGTTGTGGCGAGTACAGCAGTTCTCTATTCGTCAGGCCAGCGAGTGTATCAGAGTTCACGGAACACACGTTGAACCCACTTATGAAGTTTTTTCTAATTAGCGTATTTAAGTTCGATCGTTACAAGCTTTAGTGAGTTGTATTTTGGAATATACCACAATGAAATTAGCTAATTCTGGGGGTTTAATTTTTAATCAAAATAAAACATTAATTCTATTATTTTTTTTTCTCGAGAACGGTTCATTTTATCGACAATGAAGCAGATTATGCAGATATGCATCTTATGTACGGTCTTGCATCTTGCAATGCTTATGAAGCAAAAAGGTTGTGTGAAGAAAGATATCCTAATCGTAATATTCCAAATGAGAAAACATTTCAGCGACTTGACCAACGTCTAAGAAAGCTTTAGCTTAATGTTCATAAAGTATCGAAATTTTTTTTTTCAACTCCTTATCATACAGGGTGTTAAAAATTTAAGCATTAAAATATACAACCTAGTCCGCCCCTGGTGAACTAAACAATATTTTTATGTATTAAGGGCAGTATTTTAAGAGGTTCTTACTACTATTTATCATATTAAATTTTCATTAAATTTTATTTCGTAGTTTGAAAGTTATTCAAACAAAATTGATTTCCAGTGGCGTCCTTTTTAAGGCCGTATCTCCGTAGGGAAGGCCGCTATGAAAAACATTTATGGGAACTTGTCATCTTATTTTTTAATGTTCTATCTGAATTCGAGAGACCTCCCACAGTTTCCCAGACATATATATTATCAGTTGAGAAAAATATATGTTTAAAAACGGATCATAATGACAAAGGGCGGTTTGAATCAGTTTCGAAACTAAAAATACAAAAGTTGAAATAACAAAACTTCGAAACTTTAATAGTTTGAAATTGAAAAGGTCGAAAGTGAGACAAGGTCGAAATTACATATGATCTAAATTACAAATTGCCAAAATCAGATATAATCGAAAGCACAAATGATCGAAACCACATGTTTAATGATATAAGATTGACAGCATTATTTTACAAAATTAGTAAATTAGTTGTTTCTCTTTTATATTTTTATAATACTTTTAGGTTAGGTATTTTTATTAACTTTTTTTTTATTATGTACATAATTTTTCTGCAAAGAAAGCGCGATGGCTCCACGCCGCGTAGGTTAGGTAAATTAGTTCAGTTTTTTTAATTAATTATCAAATTTTAATTTTTTAAATTATTTAAAATATTCTGTCATAATAACAATAATAATGGAGAGAAATTTACATTTGATTTACTTATCCACTTTATAAATATTTTCAAATTTAATTTGAAATAAAACTGAATTTCTTCAACTATTTTATGGATAATATCTAATTTAAAAGTCGATGTTGTGGAAATTACAATCAACTTATGGGGATAAAAAATAGTTATTTTCCTAACAAGTGCGGAAAGTGTTACTTTCCCGCACGCGACTGCAGTTGGCGCTCAAGTGCGGGAAAGACACTTTACGCATGAGTTAGGAACATTATTTTTTCTACGACCGTATATACAAAAAAGTAAGAAAAATTATTTTTGGAAAATTATTTTATTTCAACATATACAAATCTTTAAATAAAAACAACTAATTATTATGGATATTAATGTTAAATACACAATTTGTAGCATTTTGTAAATTATACATGTCACAGCCTAGTCTGACTTTTAAAAATATACAGAAGGTATATAAAAATATAGCTCTATTATTCAAGTTTTCCAAAAAATTAAAATTATAACAAAAAGCAAGAAAAAAAAGTAAATTTTATTAAATGGAATAGTTGGAAAATACTAAATTACCTATTGTAACAATAGTTATAACATCCGAGGTAAAAAAAACTATACAATAGTTAAGGCCAAATATTCATAATTTTTTTCTCCCGCACTAGTGCGGGGAAGTGATTTTTTCCCGCACTAGTGCGGGAAAATGACACTTTCAAAACTAAAATGCGTGCGGGAAAGTGGGTAAAAATACACGGTCGTAGAAAAAAACATTTTTAATCGTTCTTAAATTCAAGTAAATCAAGAGTACATTTCACATTTAACAATAAAGTCGTCATCAAAGTTTTGTCAAAATATTTCTCAGTTATTGGAAAGTCTCACTTAAAATGAAATATTTAAGGATTTCGGATATGTCTGTTTACGTAATCTAGATGACTTAGAAATATTTTAATGTCACAAGTGGGTATATTATTTTTATAAATTTTCTTTTTCCCAGAGATCTAAAGATGTAACATAGATGATTGAATATAATCAAACAAAAACCTAACATTGGTATAATAAATTTAAGATGTTTTCTATAACATTAATATTAACTTATTTCTTTTTTGCCCTGTTTGGCTTATACTATACTTGTACTACAGGGTGTCCCAATGAAAAGTAGCCAGTGTCCAGAGCTTATAACTTTTAAACGCCTAATCGTAGAAACGTGCGGTTTTCGCTGATATGTGTTATTTTGATAAGTTTTGGTTTAGTGACACATAAATTATGTATTACTACAGGGTATTTTTTAAAAATTTTCCCTTTTAATTTCACCGTAACCAAATTTTATCAAATTTATTTTGTAACAAATTATGCATTTTTAAAAAGTATTAGAGTCTATCGTTCAGATGACCTAAACATATACAGGGTGTTCCATTTGATATAATTTGGTTACGGTGAATTTAAGAGATTTTTAAAAAACACCCTGTATAGGTAATACATAATTTCTGTGTCACTGAAGCAAAACACCCTATAGTAATGCATAATTTATGTGTCACTAAACCAAAACTTATAGCAAAATAACACATATCAGCAAAAACCGCACGTTTCTACGATTAGGTGTTTAAAAGTTATAACCTCTGGAAATAAGCTACTTTTCATTGGGACACCCTGTATTAATAAAAATATTTAAACAAATGGGACAACTATGGCCAACGCCGATCAACAGTCTGGAACACGTAGAATATTCGATAAACTTTAGAAAATTGCAACTTTTGACGAAGGCGTCATATTGTAATGTAGTCGAGGAATCTGGTGGAAGCTTCAAACGCTTTCGCCTTTTTATAAAAATGGGCTTTTTTTCTGTGGCAGAGTCAGTTAAAAATGAGAGATCATTCTGTGTATATAAATATTATCCATATAAATTAGTACACAAGTACATATAAATTAGTTATAAAACAAATGAACGTCCGAATATCGTTATCCTCTGTGTTAACAGTTTTAATAATTTCTCAAATAATATAGAGTTTATAATATCTAAATTATTAAACTTTCGTAATGATTCGAAAATAACAACTTCGTGCTGGCAAAGATATATCATTATTGAAGTAAACTAACAATAATTCAGAGGAAATACATGCAGAGTTAAAACTTTGCCGCTAAATAATTAACATCGAAAGCTGCAAAACTAAACCCAATTAACTTTAATTGGAAGTTAATTGCATAATATTCATCGATAATTATATTTGTTCTGGCTTTGATTATTGATAATAAATTTGATTCATAATAGTAGTTTCGTACATTTCATATGATTTTTCAATTTAATTTAAGAAATATAAGAAAAATCATTACCTATAAAAACAACCTCATGTCTTAAAACCTTAATATTTATTCTGTATTCATTATTAAAACTTCTTATTGTCTAGCTTACTATATTATCAATAATTTTAATAAATAGGTTTCATGAAACAAATAAGATTTAAAATAGCATAAGGAATCCCTAACACGAAATAATTTGTTCTACAATTTAAACCGAGTTGGTTAAATAGGTTCGTATTATAAAGAAGTTCAATTGGAAAATTTATCGAAAGAACCAAAGTTCGAATAACAAAAGGTTTAACGATAAAATCTCGAATGATAAAAGTTGAAATGACAAAGGTTGGAATAACAAAAATTCGAATAACAAAAGTACGAATGATAAACGTTCGAATGAAAAAAGTTCGATTGATAAAAACTCGAATGGCGAAAGTTAGAAAGTAAAAAAAGTGAGATGGGGTCGAAGCTAGAAAAGACCGAAACTAGAACCAAGATCGAAATTGCATATAATTGAAATCAGATATGATCAAAATCACATAGGTTTGAAATAATGAGTAAAGTAATATATTACGAAATTAAAAAATTAGTTTTCTTTTCAATTTTTTGTATTTTATGTATACGTTCGTTACAAAACATCTCACGATTGCTCTAAGTATTCCAATTAAAATAAATTTACCTAACCTATGCGGGTTGAGTCCGTTGCAGGTTACTTCGCAGAAAAATTGGGAAAAATAGAAAACTTAACTATTTAGCTAATTTTTTAACCTGTCTGGCCTGAAGCAATGCCAAAATGCTTTGCAAAAAAAATATACATAAAATGAAAAACATGAAATTAGTAAATTTACGAAATTACTGAACAATCTTTTAACTTCTCTAAAACTTCCATAGATTATAATACTATACCTAAATAGGGTGTTCCAAAACATCATGTCATAATTTAAGTATGTAATTCCTTGGCACAATTTATGACAGAAAGTTTTTATATACATTGCTTTGTTTTAAAGATACAGGGTGTTAAAATTTTTAAAAATAATCAATTTTTCATTTATATCATAAACACTCTTTGACCGATTTTAATGAAACTTGGCAGATTCATTTGTTGTAGTAATAGACTAATTTTGACCTAGTTATATCTGAATTATTGATTCCAGTGGCGTCCCCAAACTTAATTAATATTTTTGAAAAAAAAAAGTATGCCACTTTTTCATATTTTTTTTTCTATCTTTTTCAAATTTGCCAATTAAAAACACATCTTTTTGTCTTTTAAACTTTTTCTATTTTTCGTGTTTTTACTATTTGATTGCACGTCAATAATGGGTCTTTGATCCAAAAAATATGACTTAAAATTTTCTGAAAATTTGCTAACATAATTTATACTGATGATCTCAATTAAAAAGTCATTTTTGTTAAACGTCCGCTTCATATTCCTCATCACATATTCGAGAATGGGAGTCCAGGACCTGCACAAAATCTTAAAATGAACAAAATGTTAAGTGGGCCATGCAAACAAATTATAGCAATTCCATGGAATCTTATTGAATAATAGAAAATATGGAAAAATACATTGGCGTGCTTTTTTGTCAAAAATATCAATAAGGTTTTCTTTTGGTACTGCACTGGAATTGATAATTTTAATCTTATTAAGTTTAAATCAGCCTCTTACTTAAACAAACAAATGTACCAAATTTCATCAAAATCGGCATAAGGGTATTTATGATATTGGTGAAAAACTGATTAGTTTTGAAAATTTGGACACCCTGTATCTCCGAAACTAAGTAATTTAGGACACATGTTTATATAAACTTTTAGTCACAACATGAGACAAGGATTTACCTCCTTTAAGATGATGTCTAAGAACACCTTGTATATGATATACCTTTTTTAGGGTAAAATAATTTAGATGCTACATTTAATACTTTTCTTAGTGTCAGTAAAATATTAAACTTTGTGGTTCATTTAATGTTTTTTTAATTTTTTTTTTTTTACTTAAATTTTTTCAATTAAAATATATTTATTACAATTTTACATTGACAATTAAGTGTATTTTATATACACCCAAAAAAATTCAATTAGACATAATTTAAAAATTAACTAATTTTATTACGGAATTATCTGTCTTCTCCCTATTTATAATCTACATATTTTTTGTAAATAACTTATTTCCAAAATTAAGATTACAGCTTGATCTTTTTGCCAACTCTCTTATTGTATTTTTCATAACGAGCATACTCGTGTCATCACCATTAAACATTTTTAATTATTTTCTCTATATTAGAGATATATAGCACAAAAATAGAATTTGCCCTAGAACTCTTCTATGTAGAATTCTTGGGTTAACATATTTACCATCAGATATAATTTTTCTTGTTTTTATTTGTATTTTCTTATCCAGATATAATATAATTCATTTAATAATCCCATATTTGTGTTGTAATTTTTCTAACAAGATATCATAATTTAATGTACCACAAGCTTTTGATAGGTCTAAAAATATTCCTTGTTGGCAAATTAAGTTATTGTTGGTTTTGATTAAGATTATCATCTGTTTACACATGATCTTCTTAAATATATTGGAAAAAGGTAGCAACATTGTAACGTTCAATTTTAAAGCAACTTTCAGTTGTTGATAATATGACAAAGAGAGTTACCTAAAATGCATACCTAGTTTAATATAGTAGTTAATCTATTTTTTAAAACTCAGGAGGAAATGCAGTCACAGAACTTCAACCATGTGACCAGCTGCCCGTATCTGCCAGGCACGTTAGGCCAGCACATGAAAAAGAGTTCGCTGAGCGAGTCTTCGAGCGACTTGGTCGAATTAGAAGAAGGACTGATGGTGACACGCGATCAACTGTCCCAAAAACAGAACTGCAACCCGCGCCACAACAACAACATCAACGCCATGAGCATCGAGACTGATGTTTGACTACGAGGTAAGACAATTATTGTTTTCGCATATTTACTTATTCAATTATAGAAAGTTCAAGATTAAATGTTGTATCTATACTAAATTGCAAGAAAATAAATGTCATTAAATAATTTAAAACACGATACGGTATTCATAAACACTTAACTTACTATAAGACACAATATTTCAAAACGGCAATTTCAATTATTACTTATAGTTTATGTTCATTTAAAAATTACTATTTAATCTCTTATACTTCTTATATCAATTAATTTTAAAACTCTAATCGCAATTAAGTTTATATTGCAATTATTTAAAAAATATTATTCAAATTATAAAACCATTCTAAACTTCCTATGAACCAAATTTAACATAGAGACCATAACACCCCTTGAATTTTAATTGTAATTTTTTTAAAATGTCCATGCAATCTTTAAAAGTATTCTAAACTTCTTGTAAAAAACAACTCCAAATTTCTTATAAAATTAAAAAGATGCAATTAAATTTATATGAAATTGCAATCTTTTAAAATTAATTGTTCAATCTTTAACATCATTCTACACTTATTTGTAATAGGTCGTATCCCCTTAACAGTTAATTTTACAGGAGGCACAAAATATTTCACAGTTACAATTTTCAAGAATTGTTTGATATTTTATTAGATCAATTACAACTAAAATATAATCTGACAAAGTATTACTAAGCCCCTTCCTATGGGGCATCAGTATTGCATTTTTTTTTTCATGTTTCTGATCATTCTGAATCCGAAAATCCAAAAAAAAAAATTCGTCTGGTCGTCTGTATGTATGTATGCCGGCACGATAATTCTAGAAAGAAAGTTCTGGTTGACTTGCGGTTTTGATTTTCTTGAATAATTACTTCTAATTTAGAACCCTATTGATTTTCAGAATTTTCGGTTCATTCTAACTACTTTAATAACATTTTTTTTTAAATCTGCCTATGCATTCCTTATGTGGCAATTTTAGGAATTTTAATTATTTCTAACGTCAACATTCCTAACATTCTTCACATTCCATAAATTGAAAACATTCTCTAACAACCTGTCAAACAACAGCTGTTGATAGTAAAGGTGAAATTTCTAAGGTGTGTTGCGACCTCCATACTTACAACCATACAGCCATTTTGGAGGCTATTTTCATTTGAAATTAGTCGCCAAGCCTGCCAATTTATGAAAAATATACAAGCAGTTTCTTAAAAATGACTTTATGCTGGTGCTATTAAGCGTACTACTATTTCGCCCATAGCCACAAAAACACTTTCATCAAATTTACTGGTTCTCTGTCACAACCCCATAGAATAATTATCCGGCCATTTTATTTGGCAAAAATCAAAATAATGCTTGGCTGTATCAAGATGTCAACTGTGATATGTAAATGGCTCTTAAATGTCAAATTATTTAAAAATAATAAATATCTCAATTCAGGCTTTCCATAAATAAAGGTACAGCGAAACAGATAATATAATGTTCTTATACAAAGTCCTTTTTTATTATATAAAAGAGAGATAGGATATAATGCCCATTTCAAATTTGGATCATTTATGATACCGAGGTATTTTGTTGTGTTTTTTATTTTAATTATAAAGTTATCATTTATTTGTACGTTGAAAGAAGGCCTTTGTAAATTACATTGCTCTCTATGGATCTACTTTAACACAAAAATAGTTTTGTGGCTATAAGTTGCTATAACCTATCTTCGCAAAACTATTAATAATTTAAACATAGTAAGTGGTATTAATATAACATCTAGTAATTTTTTAAAATAAAGTACATGATCTCAAAACAAATAATATATAATAAATGCGGGTAAAATAACAATAAATTAAGGGTAATACTTAAAAAGAGCAGGTTTAAAGAGTATTATCACAAGAAAGTATATCCGTTCTGTTTATTTATCAAGTATTGTTTTAGGTTACTTTTGATTACATTTATTGTTTTTTTTTTTAATTTCTGTAGGCAGTCTATTAAATTGATTAAACCTTTAATAAAAATTGTATTTTGGGAACTTTTACTGATGGCTTGCCGTACATGAAAGTCAGATTGGTTTCTTGTATTATAGTTGTTATATTGCGAATTATATTGAATTTTTTCTAATAGATTTGATGCGATGGTACTGTCATTTTTATTTTATAAATAAATATCAGTCATGTACTGAACATAATTCTGAACTGAAAGCCAATTTATTTCTTTTAGCAGTTGCAATACTCATCCTTCTGTCCTTTATTAATAGAATATAAATAGGCGAAGTAAGAAGCACAAATATTTTACATGAGCAGGCTTAAGAGGTAAAGGGGCCAATTATTATTGGATAAATTGCTCGAACAAGTTTTTAAACCTTAATCAAAAGGCGATATAGAATGGTTTTAAAAATTAAGGCTTGTGAAAATCATCACATGGTTTAACCTAAGTAATGCCAATGCTTTACAAACCTAAAAATTCAACGTGTTTACCCTTGTGGGCCTTAGTCTCGATAAGGTGGGAACCACCATTTTAACGTCTTTCGAATTTTAAATGCATAATTATCGGCCCTATTATTTTTTATGTGATAGGTCCTATTGCGTATTCTTGTTTGGTGGGTTACGTCCTATTTATATCGTATTATAGGATTAGCATAATAATGGAGGCTCGTATGTGTGGCTTACAACAAATTGTATTATAACCAGATAAATGTGAAATTAAATGTTTTTTTTATAAAAGTATGAAAAATATTTATTTTAAACAACATAACATTTCTTTGAAAACACTGAAATTATGGTAAATGTGTTTCTTAAAACTAAAGAAAATATATTTTCCTTGTATTAAAACAAAAATCAATTTAATGGCGGGGTCTACTCTATTTAATTTTTTTATTTTATTTTACAAGGCATCTCCTTAAGTACACTTTTTGAATTGTCTGGTCTCTTCCTGACTGACGTTTTTTCGGTTCTAGTTGCAGATTTTCGTTTTGAAGGTTTCTTTTTTGCACTTCTAGTTTCTTTATTGTTAACTATTTTTTGTTCCTTTTACAAATCATTTGATTCTGTTTTTTGCTTAGCTTTCTCATTTCCTTTATTTTTATATTTTGTAGTAGATTTTAGGTTTGTAGCTTTCTTCTTTGAACTAGTTTCTTCTAACTTAGCTATTTCTTGGTGGTTTTTCGATTCATCTAATTCTGTTATTATTTCCTTGATTCTTATCTTCGAATTAATATGGTAGGCTTGAGTAAAACTTCTTCATTTCTTTAGATAATACTGAAGTCAGTTCTTGTAAATCCTTAAATTTTTTCTTCGTAATTTTAACTCAGTTATCGTATAATCGGCAACGAAGCTGGTTACTTGAATTATTTGTGTTTGAACGACAAGATAATTCAACGCAATATTCATCATCATTTTTTGCAGAATATTTTTCTATCCGGGCAATACTTTACAATTTTTAACATCGGTTACTTTAGCATCATTTACGTTTCATCCAGGTCGTATGGATTGGTATGTATAAAGATCTTTATTATCATATTTTATTAAAAAATCATGTGTAATAGATAATATAATGGACATTCGGAGGAAAAGGCTTAAGCCTTGCTTCTTTTGTTGCTAAGGAGTATTGACTGGGTATATGGATTTCTCTGTTCTTTAGCTTCTGTTCGATAAGTGCATGAGTAGAGTCACACTTCATTTAGGTGTGACTCTTTTCCAAGTATTTCTGAAATATGGTAATACCGAATTGCACTGAAAAGGACAACAGCGCATTTAACAATATCACATTCTCATTTTGATGTCCACAGTTATCGGAGTAAATGTTTATTGATCTTGGCTTTTCCAGACAATGCTTTTCCAGATAGTCCATTATACAACTTGTGAACACTGATCAAACTACCTCTCCTTCACTCTCATTCCAGCAGTAGTTGTTCTATAATTCGTCAGACAACAACTTCTGATAATTCCACTGACAAATTTGAGCAAATAATAAAAAAAGAAAATAAAGGAATGTCTTCGACAATGTCGTGACATTTTTGTACCAAAAGGAGGAAAAACAGGAGGAACTTCTGTCGTAAAACACAAAATTGACACTGGTGACGCAAGACCAAATCGTCAATCAGCTCGAAGATTACCAAAGGCCAAGAGAGAGGAAGCTGAAAGGATTGTTTAGAAATGAAGGAAGACAGGGTGATATAACCTTCTATAAGCCCATGGGTCTCTCCGGTAGTCCTGGTTCAGAAAAAGGATGAAACTATGAAGTTCTGTGTGGATTACCGTCAGTTAAACAATGTCACCAAGGAAGATAGTTACCGTCTGCCTCGTATCGACGATACCTTGGACACATTGGCCGGAAGTAAACTATTTTCCACCTTAGACTTAAAGTCTGGATATTGACAGGTGGAAATGGACCCAGTAGACAAAGGTAAACAGTTTTTACCACCGAATCTGGATTGTGGCAATTTAATGTCATGCCATTTGGACTATATAATGCCCCCACAATACTTGAAAGACTTATGAAAAACATTTTGAGATGGTTGTCCTGGAAAACATGCCTGGTGTATTTAGATGACATCATAGTATTGGGGAAGACATTTAATAAACATCTAAATAACTTAGAAGAAGTCCTTAAAAGACTTCAAGCCACCTAACTGATGCTAAATCCCAAGAAATGCCAGCTATTCCAAAATAAAGTCAATTACCTGAGTCATATAGTTAGTAAGGATGGCGTGGCTGTAGATAAGAAAAAGTGGCTTCTATCAAGGAGTGGCCACAACCAACTGATAAACATCAAATAAGAAGTTTTCTTGGGCTATGTACGTACTAACTAAGATTTACTAAGAAGTTTGCAGATACAACCATTCCATTTTAGTTTCGTAAGCGTTCCAGGAGGAACTATCTCTTAAGGAGGGGGCAATGTAATGTGATCCATTTCATTATTCAGTCATGCTGTAATCCTCCAAGTCCCTCTCTGTCTTATTTGGCCTTTGAGGCTCAACTTGTCCGATTATAATACATAGTTAAACCCCTTAGGACCAAAGATATGTGACGACTATGGCGGAGATGCGATTACTATTCGAGAAAGAATGGAGTAATGTTTCTAATATATTCCAAATATAAGAACATATTTCTAGTTTAGCGGAGGAGCATTCTGAAACCTTCACGATAATTTTAAATTTGTATATAAATATTGGTGAAGGATCAACGCAGGGATCAGTTATAGATAGACAGTTGAGAATAAAGTATTGGACTGTGAATATAAATAGTGAACGATTCAAAGACATTCGAAATATACAGGGTGTCCCGAAATTAGAAAATAGGAATAAAAGTTCACATAAACATAGGTCCGAAAACGTTTCGTTTTAGAGATACAGGGTGTTACAAGTGAAGTCCTGATGGCACATTTTTGTAAATATTTTCTAAAATTTCTTTAGTCACCGGTTTTCCAAAGTAAGAAAAAAAATAAAATTTCTGATTTCACAGACCTACTAATTATTGTTTACACTTTCGAATAACTTATCATGAAATTTTTAAATGCGTTTTTGTCAAAAATGGTGCGTCCTAGCGAGATGCAACAAAAGTAGCTTTATTATAAAGAAAACATTGGTTTTTAAAATCTTATAGTCAAAAATGTTAAAAACTGTCATAAAAAAAAACTTAGGGCAATTTTACCCTAAGCCCCCCCCTAATTTACCCACCTATGAAGATGATTCAAAACTAGGGTTTAGACCATTAAATAGAGCGTAAAAAGGTAAGCATTTGTATCAAATTTCACTTAGTTTTCTTTAAACGTTTAGAAAATATTTACAAAAGAGTGTCATCAGGACTTTACTTTTAACATCCTGTATCTCGGAAAGGAAACGTTTTCGGACCTGTGTTTATATAAACTTTTACTCCTATTTTAGGATGTAGATTATGCTGTTAAAATATGACCGTCTAATTTCGGGACACCCTGTATATAAATTAGAATAGTATTGTTGTAAATAAATGTTTAAATAAATTATTAATAAATAAACTGTTAGTTTAAAACAAACAAACATCACAATAACATAATACGCCACCGTAACGTAGTATCAATATGCGTAAAATCATACCTTTAGTTTATAGTATCATGGGTATTATCTGGTAAGCTAATAAATATTGACCCAAGATGGACGTCCACCGGACATCAAAATACTACTAAACTTAAAATTAATTTCAAAAACACACGTCCACTGGGTATCGATATGCAGCTGTCAAATTAATGATCATAAACGGATGTAGGTACTATGAATATCAAATGGATCTAAGGCGGACGTCCATTGACTATGTGTGATATTTGGGCAGTGTTATTATGCGGCTATTATTCGAATATCATATCCTATGCTTCATAGACGCAAAAAATTATTATATAAACAAATAGGTGGGTATTGCAGATGCGCAAACATCCTTGTAAACAATTAACGTTTTTGCATTAAAAATCGCCTAACAATTCTGCAAGCATTCTCATCAGAAAATGGTGAAGGAAGATATACTCAGTTTCTACAGTAATAATGCTGCAAACAGAAAACATGGATGTTTGCACGAGAAACTTGACATATAGGTCGAGATGTATTCTTATAAATGCCTAATTAAACGAATAAACCAAAGTTTTATTTTAAAAATAAAAACCATTTTTTATTGTTTCTACGTAAATAGGATTGAAAATTTCGATGCGTTATTATGGTACATTCCAATCCAGTTATTTTGTTACGTGAGATACCCTGTATAGATTAAAATCGAAATTCCTCTCCTCTTTGGAAATACCTATTTTAGGAACCGTTATTGATCAGTGAATAAAAATAGCATTATTAACACTTGATAGCAACGCTTATATTTGAGATTTGATCAAATCACTTGCACTTCTTATTAAAACACCCATCAAAGATTATTGATTGATAAAGGAAATGTAAAATAAAAACATAAGCTAAAAATATTTTGGCAATATCCTTAAAATATCATCATTGTTATAGGTGTAAATTACAAAGGCAAATGGAAGTCATTAGTAATACAATAAATGAATAAAAACATATATATATTTTACAATAACATGATAGTCGATAATATGCTCACACGTATTGCATGCACAAATTCATGTTTAGCTAGTATATTCATTTTCATAAAAAAATATAATCATTATTTTAATCATATTTTCAAAATAAATAGATCACGTTACATCGACCATTGTCCCAATGAAAAAGAGGGATGAAATATACCTACATATATATTTATATTCATTAACAAACCATAATTATGTTAAACATTAGTAGAAGACTACATAAAATTTGTTAAAAAGTTATCAATGTTACTAAAATTCTTCAAATTGCATTTCAATTTACAAATAAACTATTTTATTCGTGGTCCCTTTAAAATCAATATAAATGGCTTTCCAGTCTTTTACAAACTTTCTATTCAGTGTGATGAATAAATAATTGAAATCCATAATTCTGATTACATTAAATACTAAGGAATCCATCATGATCATCATCTCAAAGGGAATAAACACATTCAGCATGTGTCGAACAAATTAAGACAGATCATATTTAAATTTAAATATGTAAAGTTCTTATCCTCAATAAAATGCCACCTTAATTTTGTCATCGTTGTCAGGAAAAAGAAAGACAAAAAATATTTGAGTAGAACGTAAAAAGCAAATATTTATCCATTTAAAATGTTGGAAATTTTAAAATTCAATTTAATTTTAGATAAAATACAATTAAGAAAAATAAAAAAAATGGAGGAAAAATTAAAAACCGTTAGTAGAAAAAAAAAACTGTATGCCTAAATTACATTAAATTAAATTAAATAGGGTATTAAAAATAAATATCTTTAAATATTAAATTAGATTGTTAGTTAGTTTTATGGTTAAAATTACATTAAAAAAATCTTTTTTTAAATTGAAATCATATTTGTAAATTTTATATTTGTTTTAGCCATCTAGGTATAAGCAATTTAAATATTTTGGTGATTTTTAGTTTGTTAAGTAATATGACATTACATTTTTATTACTAAATTTTGTGATATTTAAGTACTTCGGTAATAAACGTTTATTTATTTATTTTGATACGTATAAGTAAAAATAAACAATCTTGATTGCCTTTCTATTGAAACCAAAAATAATTTTCTTTAAATTTTTTAATTGAAAGTGATAAATTTTAATTTGTAACTTCCTCTTAATTAAAATTCCATTATTTAATTTCAATTTTTAACGCTATCAAGGTATCAATATTGCCTAATGTTTAACTAATGAAATGGAAAATCTTAAAACTGATGTTTTCTTCTATTTTAATTAATAATAAAGTTAATTACTAGATTGACAAGATTTTAATATTTTCTGTATTATATCACGTAGGTAAGAATACAGGGTGGGCCACTTAAAAGTTCAATCCCCCTATCTTCGTTATTCATTGAGAAATCGAAATATCGATTTTTGTTTTTTGACTGGAAAAACTACTTTTTATGATTCAATTATTCTGTGACGATATTGCTTACTTTCGGTTTTTCCGGAAATAACAGAAAATAGCAATTTATTTTTTAAATTTAAATTAAAATCCACTCTCTTTTTGTAAATTTAAATATTTTTGTATATTAATAGTGTATTAAAAATTTTCTGGCAGCTGTCAAAATGGCCGCCATATTAGTTAATATTTTTTCTAAACATGTTACTATTAATTCGTTTATGGAAAAAATTATGGGAATGTATGATCTTTATAATATCATTGAAAGCTTCAAAATTCCTATTGAGGCCCACTCAGAGAACACCAGTGGCGTATCTAAGCATTTTCATTATTAGCAAGCCGTTTAATAATTCCATTCGCTATTATCTTCGTTGTTAATTGAGATATTGGAACGAAAACTTTTTTATTTAAAATCTTGAAATTTTTTAATTGTGTTACACCCTAACACTAATGAATTAAATATTCTTTTAATATGATCCATATCATAGAATAAATCGTGTGTGATGCAGATTTCTCGTCAAAATGGTCCAAATTAAAATTTTTCACATGTACCATATTCCTGTGAATTTATATTAATATGGCCAAGACAAGCCCATATTATGGTAGTCTGATAAATAAGCGTTGAGAATTTTAATTATCGTGTTAGGTCATCGATGGTTAATCTAAATTCAGTCAATGTTTGTCTTTAAATCAAATTCGTCAGACGGTGCATCATGAACATGAATGAAAATATTAAATTATCTATATCCTTTCTATATTTAGAGAGTGTTGTATTATTGTATTTATTAAATATAAACTGGGTTTCACTTAATATTTTCAGGTACTTTACCAACATAGTACGATTTGAGCTTATAGGTTAGGATTTATTGAAATTAAATATAAGGGTGGCATCCTGCCATATCTCGGAAACAATTTCAGCATTTTTAACATTGAAAAGATTTGTTTGAATATGGAATCACGAGTTTTTGTTCAAGGTCAAAACTCGGCGATGTCGACAGTGTTGCCAAGGTCGAGCGACTTCTTGATAAACAGAAATTCAGTTTTTTAACTGTGATATTTATTTAGAGGCCTTTTTTACTTTTGTATATTTTAATTTTTTTTTTAAATTTAGTCTAAAGTTTTGTACTATATTATCTTGCACAATTTTTTTAAAAATGTATTTTTCATTTTTTGTTGTGACGTACTTGATGTAATTGAAAGGTAGTAGCTTTAGCTAGACTTCGCTACAGGTGGCATTTATTTATTTTTTTTAAGCATGCTCTTATTATTATTATGATTATTCGTTTGATATTTTATAAATAAAAAGACAACGTTTTTTTAACTTTATTCAATATCTATAATTTCTTATCACATTTTATATCATTTTCATTTATATCGATATGTTTTAAACCGTTGGTATGTGCTGTGCCATTAGATTTGGTAGGCTTGGTAGGCAGTTTCTTCTCCTTGTAGGTGTGTTTATAAAAGTCGAAAAACATCATAAAGAATAATGTACTTTGCAACATGTTCCAAAAACTGATAGCTGTAGGTAAACATCCGAATAATGCTGCTTGTGCTGAATTTACTAAACTCAATACAAATTGAATCTGAAAATTGTATAACAATTAAGGTAATTATTGCAAATTCGGACCATAAAACACAACCGATTTGAGCGACATTTTTCTTACTTTAACCCTTTATGGCACAAAGTAAAATTCCAATTTATATTGTATAGAAATTAGTTTCGCACATTTATGATGAAATGGTACAACTGTACTTTAATGTAACAGTCTACGGCAGCTGATAAAGACATTTGTTTCGTCACATGTGTGCGGTGACGACGTTTTTCGCGCTCAGTCATTTCATGTTATAGGATGTGACTAGTTGTATCAGTGAGTCTATTTGCTTTTTGACAGATTTATACAAAAATTAAAAAGTTTTGGAAAATATTTTCTGTTTTATATGTAAGTAAAGGTTATATATTGTGGACAAATGATATTTTTATGGAAATTACAACAAAATTACAGCTAATTAAATGTTTGTGTCTTTAAAGTAACAGTGTACAATTATATACAAAACCGAAACCATGTGGTTGCCCTTTGAATATGAATAATAACGAGGTACCTCCTAGTTACTGATTATTCATGTTTATTGCAGATCATCTATTCGGCTGTTATATTTTATAGAAAAATAAAATGGATCCTGCTATATTATATGGAGGTAAGAAAATAACCATTGCCGAGCCTGTAGATGAGAGTGAAGATGACTTGGCAGCACAAAGTGATGAGGATGAAGAACAGTTTGTTCCTACTTCAGATTCATCTGACAATTTTGCTGACGACTCTGTTACTGATGATCTTGAACAGGTTACGTGTGCTAGCAAGAATAAACAAAAAGCAAAGAGGCGATCCATTTCCTGGAAAAACGTGAGAACTATATCTGGTGTACCCGAATGGAAAGGTCAGCTATCAGTCGCACTGAGAGTGAAAGAATCCGTTGACTACTTTGGGGGGCTTATTGACAATACTACTCTAAGGCTTATTAAAGAGCCATCTTATATTTACACCATTGGAGTTAACCTTAATAAACCACTAAATCTTAGTGTAGAAAAGCTACAACAATTTATTGGCACTTGTTTTCACATGTCAATATTTTCATTACCTAGAACAAGACTATACTGGAGTGCAGCATGTCGTGTTGAGCGTGTAAGCCAGATGATGTCGTTACACCGTTGGGAAGCAATAAAGAAGTTCCAGCACTTCAATGAAAATTAGATTCCACCAGGACAACCTGGTCACGACAAGCTGTTCAAAATTTGTCCTTTTATTACAGGGTTGCTCGCAAATGTGAATAAAATTCCCATGGACGAAAAATTGTGCGTCGACGAACAAATCATTCCATTAAATAGAAAAAGTAGTATAATCCGAAAAAACCTAAACGTTGGGGATACAAAGTATTTGTTCTTTGTGATTACAAAGAAATAGTATATAATTTTGAAGTATATACCGGATATATATCTCCAGCCCAAGACCTTCCTGATATTGTTGCGAATGGGAAAATATACTGTTGAAACTTGCTGCAATTATTCCAAAAAATATGGACTTCAACCTGTATTACAACAATTGATTCTACAGCATAAACTTCCAGGTAGAACTTGAAAAATTAGGAATACACAGTGTTGCCACAGCAAGAGAAAAAAGGATACATGACTGTAGTTTTTCAAGTGACAGCGCCCTAAAGAATAAAGAAAGGGGCAGCTTTGAAGAGAAAGAGGCAACGGTAGATGGAGTGAAGTTGCGAGCCGTCAATTAGTATGACAAAAAAGAACACTTTTGAGAACCTTTGCATCAGCTCATCCTGTGACAAATATTAAACGATGGGATAAAAAAAAGAAAGAAAAAATTGTTGTACCCAGGCCATCGGTGGTAGCTATCTACAACACATGGAAGGTGTTGATCTTGTAGATTCTTTGCTAGATTTGTACCGCATCAAGAGTCGCTCCTGAAAATGGTACCACCGACTTTTTTTATGTTTGACTTAGCACTCGTTGTTTCCTGGCTACTGTATTACCGTGACGCTGATCAATGTTTACTCTCAAAGAAGGAACAGTTGAGCTTGCTTGAGTTCAAGGCAAATCTGGCAGCATATCTCTGTAAAGAGAACAAGGTAACAAAGAAGCGTCCAGGGAGACCAAGCAATAATAGCGTTAAGAGGGAACAACAAGCTAAAAAATCTCGAGGCCCAACTGCTCCTATTCCACCCACAACAGTCAGATGTGGACGTTATATGTTCAAAATGTTCAGACACCGGAAACTTGTTTTTGTGTTTTACTCCCGAAAATAACGGTTTTGTAAACTTTCACACACAGTAATAATTTACCTAGTATAAAAATATAATATGTTAGTCGTTTCTAACTTTTCTAACTACTGGGGAAGCACCCCAAAACAGGTGCATGGAAAAGAACTGGAGAACTACTCTTTATGAATAGGAACCAGTTGAAAGTGATAACAGGGTTCATGACTGGGCACGCCCCAGTAAAGGAACACTTGAATAAAATTGGCATGTACAATGGGGAACTCATGTGCCGACTATGTCACAAGAAACCAGGAATGGCCAAACACATACTGTGCGAATGCGAAGCTCTAGATCGCAGAAGACAGGCACTTTTTGGACAACCCCAGGTTAATCCAACAACGTATAGAACCCACTCACCCAAGGATCTGTACAAACTTGTACAAGTTACAAAGGCGACAGAGTGGGTGCTATGAACTAACATGGGGTAAAACACAATAAGCCAATATGTTTTAGTGTTATTCGGAGACATAGTCAGACGAGCCCAGGAGGAAAAAAACTTTCACATACAGTAAAAATTTACCTAATATAAAAATGTGATATGTTACTTGTTTCTAAAAAATAAATCTCAATTACCAAAATATTAGTGAGTAGACTAGAGAATGTTCTAGTTTACGAGTGCACATTATTACTTGGAAGTCAGAAATATCTTGGGCAGCGCTATAATGAGCAAATTTTATTTTTAACATGTGTGAAGGCTGTTTTAAAATATTTTCAAAGTAAATTATACACAAAATAATTTTTTGTAGCACGTAGCATAATTCGTGCCATAGAGGGTTAAGTAAATTAAAGTTATGCAAATTGTTTTTGTAAAGAATGGAAAGAATATCCTTATGTTTGTACTCCAGAATCTTAATCAGGTGTTTGACTCTCCGTATCAGTTATAACTTTTTTATTTTTAATTTTAGGCATTGTTATATATTTTTTTATTTTTGTTTGTGTTTAGAAACTTTAACTTTCAAGAGAACTACACTTCGATCCCTTAACGTTATAGTAGAATGGAAAATAAAATAACTGCAGTAGCCTTGTGAAATTAAAATGTATTTGTAATATAATATCTTTATCTTATAAAAAAGATTTTGTAAAAACCATACCTACATGGTATAAACATATAAGTTTTCTAAAAACATAAGACTGTTTTATTATTATGACTGAATGTGTAGTTCTCCAGAATCCAAGGGCACCATATAAAATAGAAGAGCGCGATTTACCTAACTTGAAGCCACTCCAAATCCTACTATTCCTTAAGAAGATAGAATTGGAAGGGTCGTTATAAGCATCGAGTATTTTCTTGCTGCATTAGCAATGTAAACTCATGTGATCTCATGTGATCCGCTACTGTACAAATTACAAAACAAAACCAGTTAGAAGTTAATAGACACATAGACCCATAGCGCTCTACATTTTTGTTAATCGATGTAAAAGCTCAACGCTAGATAGCTGCACTTGTCAAGAAACCCAATTAAAATACTGGTATTTTAACCACCACATTCCGTATATCTGGAATTTTTCAAAAATGTCACTGTTTTAAGTTCCATAAATTTTATTATATATTAAAAAATTAAAACTTACCAACTGCAATACAGTGACGTATTTTTTCCACCACAAATATTTTTGCATTTTGGGACCAAAGGCACTGAGCATGTAGTAAGAGTACATTACGATATGTATAAAAGAGTTAATAAGCCCCAAAAATGTCATTGTGCTATCAGGTACGTACTTTACTGCGAGCCAACTACTGATGGGCATTACGCAGTGATGATATAGATGAAGAGTTGTTACTTGGTTGTCTTTTTTCCTTAATACAAATAATATCTAAAACAAAACAAAAATAAATGTAATTTGAAGAAGAGCTCACAATTAAGATGCTTTTTTTTGATAATATGTCTACTATAATATAGATAAGGGTAAAATGTTAAACTAAGTCTTCTGTGACTTTTTAAGTTATTTGAATGTATCTGACATGAAATAATAATAAATAAAAAACTATTTAGTAACGGATTTCAAAATGCAATATTACAATGGTTTATAAGTTATTTTTCAGTAAAACGAAAAAAAGTTATAGTATATAGTATTTAAGAAACTAAGAATTCAATCACGACATTCCTTAGGGATCAGTTTTAATGTCCATTTTATTTCTAATCTATAACAGTAATTTATCTAAAATTAGTCTCTCTGGATAATATACTTAGTTTGCTGACGACACCAATCTTATATATTATAGAAGTAATAAGAATAATCTAAAATCTGATGTGTCCTACGACCTCTATGTAATTAGAAACTGGTGAGGCAGAGGTTAAATCTATCTTAGATATCTGATGGTAGAATACTTCTAGAATATATTTTCTACTGATTCATTAATAAGTCCGCCGAAGGGAAGATCAAATTTATATAGATGCAAGTGAGCAAGTAACCATGAAAATGTTTGAACGACCATCTAGTAAATCTTATGTAGAAAAGAATGGATCCATTTATGTCTTTTGACCCATTGCCAGTATTTCTTGTGCATCTGCAATTTTGCAAAGGAAGATGGACAAAGTTTTATAGGGTATATACGAGGCATTTTAGTGTTATTGGATGATATTAAAATTACAGAAGAAAACGAAATTTGGTTCATTTAAATAAAGTTCTACAAAATTATTAAAATATAATGTACGTATTCAAAGAAACAAGTCTATATTATTTTCTGATAGTATTCAGTATAGTGGTTACTCGAGTAATTCTCAGGGCACGCATAAAGTAAAAACGAAGCTGACAGAATCGTAAATACATCAAGAGCAACGGACAAAACACAACTTCGGGGGTTTTTTGGTTTAATTAATTATTAGGGTATTATGTACCTCAAAATATATCTTCCATGAGCCATATATAGTTTAAAAGGAACACATAGAAGAGCCAGAAGTGACAATTACGAATCTTATCTACACCGACGGTTCTAAAACAATACAAAGTTCAGGGTGTGGAATATACTCTAGATCCTTAAATCTAAATATAAATTCGACTGTAAGCAATAGTACCAATGTAATTCAAACCGAGTTCACGGGTATTCTCATAGCAGCAAAAGAAGTTACCAGAAAAAATATCACTGGAAGAAACATGCTCATCTATACAGAAAAGCAGACAAGCACTACTCACCCTGAACAGACCACGAATTTACTCAGGGTTAGTATTAGAATGTCACGAAGCTTTGGCCAAAGTATCTATCAACAATGTGGTTACCTTAACATATATCAAAGGCCACGTCACATTGACATGTAACCGTCTTGCTGATTAACTATCCAACATGGCAGCCAACCAAATACTTTTGGATCTGGCAAATCTGTTGGCCTAACAACATCGCTAGTGACAGACCTACTTGAAGAGCATTCCCTTGTGAAATTCAAGGAAAGATGGGATGAGACAAGAAACTGCAGAGTTGTCAGAAAGCCATTAAGTTGTCCTGATAACACTACAGCAAACAATAATTTAACTATGACTAGACCAAATATGCGCCTGAGGAGGCATTTTGACTCATTACCAAGTACGGAAGCATCTTCATATTTTGGGACTGTCAGAATTCGTACCCTACAGGGGGTTCGAACAAGAAGATCAGACAATCGTAGATATACTCGCTTTTATTTATAAGAAGATTTGTGTTCAGCGACTATCGGCTAACACCGACTGATATAAGAGAAGCACTCCTTGGTTGTGTTGTCAACTACATTAAATCTGTAGGCTTGCTCATGAGCTAGGAGGCGCTTATCAATTTGGGAGAATGCGCACAATGGACCTAGTGAGGTATAAGTGTCGTGGGGTAACTCATGCTCTACACGTTACAGATACAAATATTATTGTGATAAAATTATTTTGAAGAACTCTTTTCTATCCTTCTAATAAATTATTCCATAAAGAGGTAAAATTCTGTTGGAATACTGAATACTGAATACTGAATACTGAATACTTTTTAGTTAAAGTACGAATTAATAAGGACAGTTTTTTTGGTACATATTCATCCAAATCTACCGATAATTTCAACTCCTGATGCCTCTACTTATGGAGTGGGTTCGGCAATATTTCATCTTTTTCCTGAAGATGGTTCCAAAAGAATCTTATATTTTGCACTCCTTCTGAGACTCGGAAGAAGTATTTACAAATTAATAAGAAAGCATGCAGTATCATTTTTGTGGCAAGAAAGTTTTATCAGTAACTTTATAACAATCGGTTTATTTTGTATACTGATCATAAACACCTACTTCAAATTTTTAATCAAGAAAAATCTTGTCCAATATTAAGTGTAACGCGTATGCGATAATATGCCATTTTTTACAATCTTTTGAGTATGATATTCGTTATAAAAGTACGAAAAACCATGGTAATGCAGAGTTCTGATCTATATTGCCAATAAAATCAATCTTTGACTATATTCGATGGACCTGATATTTTTGAATTACAATAAATTGATAAACTTTAGATTTTAAAGATCTTTTATTTAATTCTACAAGTACAGTACATACATAATATCTAGTATGGAAGAGATAAGGAAAATCTAAAATATGCTATCTCACAAACTCTATTTAGTTAGAAACTAGTAGGGCAGAGGTCAATTTTACCATAGATATCGGATGGTGGAATACATATGGACTATTTTTTCCGCTGGTTAATTAATAAGGCACACCTAGGGGGACCATACAGAGGTAAGTGAGCAAGTAAAAACCAAGAAAATATTGGGATAACCAACTAGTAACTCCTTGTAGAAAATAATGGATCCATTTAGGACTTACGACCTATTGTTTTTCTGGTTAAAAGTAAACCAACACCAAAAATATGTTACTCTACATACTGGTAGTTTTTTATTACCAAGTAGTTTTATGATCCTTTGTTAAAAATTAACAGCTTTTTAGTGCCTTACACCAATATGTCATTGCAACCGGAAAGAATTAAATACATTATTATCTGTTGCCAGTGTTTTTAGGCTTAGTTCCAAAATACTTTCACGTTCATTTGGTTTAATTTTAAAGCCGCCTACTTAACTGTGTTTACATGGATATAAAATCATCCCGTTTAAACAGGCTTAATTCGTTAGTTTGATTTTTGATCTATATTTATGTAATTTTTTACTTCATATATTGCTTCGCCTGTTCCACTTTTGATTTTTGAGCTATCAGTGTACCATTTCTATATCACGATTCCGTCTGCCTCTCTTGCCGATTATTTAAATCAATAATAAATGGTTTTTTCTAGTTCATATCTGTCAGTTGTCTTTTTGAAGATTGATGGTCAATTATGTTATTGTTTCTCACATCCCCCCCCCCCCTTTCTTCTTTTTCTACTTTTGGACCACCTTATATACACTCAATAAGTTATTTCAAATTATTTTCTGATTGTTATTGAAACTTACCGTGTCTATAAACTCGGTAAATTTGGATAAATAATACATGTATGCAACGAAGATCATCTGAAAACAAAAAATTAATATTAAATATTGCAAAATGAAATTTTTGTATTTTATAAAACAAAAAAAAAGAGGAATAATTACTCAACATTTTTATCGGCCCTTGGTTCAAAACATTCTAAACTATACTTCGGGCTGTACCATCCTCCAGCTAAAAACTAAAAATGTATTATATTAGGATCAATTATAATTTTACAAAACCACCTGAGTAAAAATTAAAAAAAAAAAAAAAACGTAAACTACAAGCAATGATTAATTGTCAAACTCTTCTTTTATATGGTAGTTTCTTGTTTTGTCAATTCGTGTTTCTCACCTAGGGAAATTTTACCTGTTATGACCCATTTTATTCTTGTTTCGTCAACTGCAAAATATACCTGTTTAAAGTGTTCTTGTTTCGTCACCTCACCTTTGCACATGCGCTAGTGATTAAGAGGCTTCTATTATGCATTTTTTTTTTATTTTAAAAATAACTAAATACGGTTTAAACTATTCGATTCCAAATAAAGTCTAGAAATTGGAAAAGTTTGGATTAATCCTGTTTACCTGATACAGGATTCGAAGTTTAAGATGTCCGGGGTATCTACGCTTAAGCCACTAGTGATCAAATATTTGAACATCATGAAACTAGTATTCCATACCAATATGATTTTAATTACCTACGTAAATGTAAAACTTTTAAAAAGTTAATCGGATTAGATTAGAGATTCGATCGCTAACAAAGGTTTTTACCATATTTAAAGTTTAGTTTGTACCAAGCAACATTACGGTTAACATGGAACTGCAAGTTGTTGAATCAAAAAGAGGAAAGCCTATGGTGCTCTTCTTAGGTCATAAATTTCATCAAATAAAAATTCATCAAACTAGTGACATCTTTTGGACTTGTGTAAACCGAAAATGTATTGAAAGTATTACAACCATAAAACAATTACAACAGTGTTGAAAAGTAAAAAAACAGCTTTGTTAAATGCCAAGAAAAGGTCCCGTGAAGAAATTTTACCAGTAACCCAAATATATCAGCAAGAAGTTATGAATAAAGCTGTAGACAAGGGTCTTGACTTTAAAACCCAAATTCCCAGTTTTTCTTCAGTGAAGCAGCAGTTGCATCATGCTAATCATACTTCTCTTGGAATAGTTTGTCTAAATACCGCAAAAATGTTGTCTTTTCAGTTAAATATAAACATTTTCTTTTATTTGACGATAAATCGGATGATAGGACACTTATATTTGCTGCTGAATGTGGACGTAAACTAGAGCATGGTAAAATCTTTTTTGGAGACGGAACATTTAAGAGTTGTCTTCCTTATTTAAACAATTATACACCATTCGTAATATGGACTTTGGTAGTACAGAAGGAAAAACTTGCGTTTGGCTAGTTATTTATGCTTTATTACCAAATAGAAAAGAAATTACTTACACAGAGTTTCTTACCATATTAAAAGAAAAAATACCTAAGTTCAGTTCAGAGGAATTTCATGTCGATTCTGAGAAGGCTCAATAATTTGAATGCAGAAAGTAAGTCTGCAGAAAGTAAGCCTGGATATTGAGTGAAGGGAGGCGGCTTAACGGTTTCTTAAAAAAATACCTTTTATTGGTGAACATAAAGATACTTTTTAAACCAAAAATTGAATTTATGGTTTATTTTTTTTTTTATAATAACTTTACTAATTATTACAATAAATATTATAAATACCATTAAAAATAATTTAGGTTTACGGACTTTTATGACCCTAGTAGTCCCAGTTGACGAATGCGGAATAAATTATTACCTGCGAAATGGTCAAAAAGGTACAGGTGACGAAACGAGAAACTTTAGGTCAGGTGACGAATCACGAATTAACGAAACAAGAACAAATCTTTTATATCCTTTCAGTCTGACGGTACTTTTTTTATTAAGGTTCATACGCTTTAAAATACAGGATATAGATGAATCAATAAAAAGGAAAATGACTTATTCTTCAATTATTTGACAAGTTGCTTAAATGTTCCTAAAAACAAATATTGTTCTTTGTATAAATAATATTTTAAGAAGAAATCATTATATACTCATAATAATATAAAGCTGGCGTTATTTTAAGTAACCCTTGCCTAAAGTTTATCTTGTTTTTATAAGTACACCCACAGTATATTACTATAATGTGAACATGCATTTACGTAATCAATGTTTTATGGTGGCCGGATGTTATAAACGATTTGCTTCCACCGTTTTTTAATTTTTAAACTTACGCCATAGAACAACCATGAGCTGAATATAACTTGAGCAAAGTTGTAAATAAAAACGAAATTCTTAAACTGATACGGTTTCCTATCCTTCATGTAAGCTGGTAACGAAATCTGAAAAAAAAACAGTTTTAGAATCATTTTATTTTCTGTGCCTAAATTGGTGAATAACAATGTTTAGTAAAAACATACAATAATCGTGTTTTTGATCTAAAGTTGCAATATCTTGAAATAAAATAAAATTACTATTACGTACTCACTTTGACTAGAAATAAATAGACTACGGTTATGGCAATAGTTGGAAGGGGACTGGGCATCATGAACCAATTTCGTATCCTTGGATCTAAAATAATATCGAAAATAATTTATTTAACATATTTTAAAATATAATAGAATTTTATGTATAATAATAATATATTAATTATATTAATAAATTCTAATACTCCAACGTGACAAATGAAGCTCGCTGTGGTTCTCAATTTATATAATTATTTGGTTAAATTAGTATCGATAGCATTATTTTATGACTTCTGATTTTCACATAATCTCTATCCATGGTGTGCGAGTAAATTTTAACGCATCTACAGATTCTATTAGAGATTGGTATCGAGAACGTCTCTTCCTTGCTGATAAATCCTAATAAGGACGAAACCGGTCCACGAATTAGGAATGATGTTCTTCTTAGTAAGCAAAATAAAGTAAGAAAGTTGAAAATAATTTTCTGTTGTTTTTATTTTGATATATTTCCTGTTGCCTATTAGCCAAAGAAGTAGTTGTTTTTGGGAGGAAAGCGTTTCTGTGACAGAGTCTTTAAGCTTTTGTAATTTTCCTTTGGTTTAGTTTTTCATAAGATAATAATTAATAATAATACATACTTATATATACAGGGTGACACATTCTAAGCACGTCGGCCTCTGTAAGGAGAACGGCTTCACATTAAAATTTTGTTCTTAACTGGGATATTCAGGGCTTTTACCAATACAAATTAAAAATAATTTGGATTATACCGGATAATCAAAAATAGGAATTTATATCCAATTTTTTTTTTAAATAAGATGTCTTTTGATTATGTGAAAAAATATAGTAAAGTTTTTGTAATGTTTCCTATACCTATCTCTTTTTGTTTCTAAAACTTTTAAAGGATTCTTAATTTGTAAGCTTTAAATCATACAGGGTACTCATTTAGTCTAATCGAATTCGACTTACATAAGGATTTAAAAAATATTTCAATTTTAATTTAATAACTTAAAGGACCACGCACTTTTCTTATGCAAACGGGAGTACCGTCAAAATGTCTTAATTTTTGATATGTTAAATTACTTAATGTCCCTATTAAAAGTGTCCATGGGCGCAATCGTATCCTATGACTAGATTTTGAGATACAGGGTGTTGAAGTTAGAAATCCCTTATTCTTTAAAATGACACCATAAATCACACTTAAATATTTATGTAAGTTATTTGCTCATTCTGTGTAGTAAAAATACATACATACAACCTATAGTGAGAGATCATTAAAATGCATTGATAGAAAATCCACACACAAGTCAATCAGGCCATTATTAGAGAATCTGGAAAAATATTAAACGAATCATAAAAAATACACATTTCATCCTTATAAGATACCAAGAATTGTATCAGAAGGACTTTTAACAAAGACTCTATTTTTTATGGGTTATGGATAAAGTAGAATTAAATCAAATCTTAGTGAGGAAAACCTTCCAGCCAACGTCATAAGTGAAACCATAAGGAGCAAATAATGCGTCGGAGCTCATGCGCATAATGGTAAAAGATGATAGGATAACCTGCTATTAGGCCTAATTGTTTTACCGGTCATCCTAATCACAAAAATTTCATAGAGTTTTACTTTGAAAATTATCTGGGCTCCTAAATGATGTACTTTTTAGTACTATGCAGAAAATAAGGATGCTGCTGTGAAAGAGAAAGATGGTGTTTCTACTAATATTTTAAAATATTTTAAACTGTATTCGTTCCCCATATTTGTATAAATATATTAACTGCACCAGAAGATGGAAAAATGTTTTTTCGAAACATATGTAGTGCTTAATTAATAAAAAATTAAAACTGTTGACCGAATAAATCTAGGAAATTTTTATTTATATAAAATTCTACTACGGTTAGGAAATTATGGCCGTTTTCACTATAAAAACAAACAAGTATAGGATGCCCCAGCCTATATATAACAATCCCAACAGGCCTTATAGACCCAAGGCAAACATTTAAATTTTTCTATACTTGACAACTTCTTTCCACTCCTAAAATCTGCAGGTCCTTTCTCCACTTGTCGCCATATTTTGATAAAGGCCATGGTTGAATTGGGTAAGATTTGTTTAAAGTCGATAGGCTCCAGTGGGGTAAATCCGAATATCTGCAGAATATCCACGCTGCAGAATCGACACATACTTCGAATTCAAGATGATAAAATTTATAAACTGGTATTTAACCCCTAAGCTCAAACTAGCCGAAGAAAAGGTAGACCGAGAGACCTTTTTATTACTTAAAATTAAATAGTTCTCTGTTCGTGCCAATATCACTATATCATCCGCATATGTTAAACATTGATGACTCCTTACAAAAATGTTAAAAAAGTAACTTACCTTCATATTTATTTAAAATTTGATGGAAACCGTCTAAAGAAGAAAAAGATTCCATTTTAAAAGTTTGACTGCCGATGTATTTTTGTAATATCTTCTTCAGACCTTGTTGTTATTATCTGAAAATAAAAACAGAAGTTGTAGAGACAGATAAAGAACTGATAATGGAAACAAATAAATGTCTTCCTGTGCAAGCCTAAGATGAAGAACTCAAAAAAATATTTGATTAATAATAGAGTGATTTTAGAAAAAAAAAAAGTTGTATAATTTCGGAATAATGAAAGTTCTACGAAATAAAATAATAACACTATTAGTATTCTACTGTACTCAAGTAGAAAGAAATAGAAATAACTATAGCAAGAAAAATAAAATTTTGGAGGAAAATTTCAAATTTCTCAGATGTTTACTACCCATTCTTTCTCAACCATCTTTAATACATACTTTATGCAGACTTAAGTAGATACTAAAGTAGAGGTCGTTTAATGCTTCTGATAAGTCCTAATAAGGACGAAACTGTGGTTTTCAGAAGAGAAAGGGTCGCTCGACAGTCGACTTTGCTGTGTTACGGACTTTGAGATTTTTTTCCTTTTATTTTATAATAAAATTTTGTTTAAATTAAACACCAATTAATTATTGAAGTGGAAATAAACATAAAGTAAATATATTATTATATTTATTTTGTTTTTGGATTATACAGAATATTTAATTTATTTCAAATTCAGGAACAACAAAACTAATAAAAATATTAACTAGGTAATACTGCTTTGTTTGCTTGTCAAATTACAGACTTTTTAAATACTTGTTTTGTATTGTTGATGAATTGTTTTTTTTATTATTACTGCACGGAGCACAAAATTGTTAATATTAATTGATATTGTAATACAACAATATTTTTTTATTTATTACGAAATCATTTTAATTGTGATTATTGAGTTTTTTTTTTTGAAAAAGTGATTTAAAAATGACTCCTTAATATAGTAATAAAAGTAATAATTTAGGAATATAGCAAAAATCTGTTACTTTTACTCATTTGCAAATTATTTTATTCAAAAAGCAGTGACGTTCTCTATTTAGTTGACCACATATTAATTTTTCTTTTACTAAAAATAGCGCTATCGTGTACGAGATATAATGAAAAGAATGTTTATTCATTGTAAATGTACTTCACAACTTCAACGAGTTAGTTTATGCTGGTGCATTAATTTTAAGATGTTGCAGGCTGTTTTGAGTACATCCTTACAAAAAGTAATGAGCCGTTTCTTGCCTTCATATTTCTCTGTAGGACTTTTTTACGTAGTAACCTTTGATCTAAATAAGACAGATAGGACAGCGGTCTCCAAATTATGCGTCAGGATCTACAGAATTTATTTTGTTAAAAATCAATTAAAATGCCCTGCGAAAATAATCTACATGATTTCAAACTCTACATAAATAAAATTTATTACAAAACCTAAACTTATTAATGCCTTGAATGTACAAAAAATAAAATATGCCAAACATGTTTGAAATGAGAAGAAAGACTAAGTGCGTTGTGAACGTTATCAGCTAAAAAAGTGTTTCACAACAACATTGAAGACTTTAATAAAGAGTTATTGACCGTTTTGTTATTAAACCATAATGAAGATTAGACTCTTATTCTTATTTTAGTGTATAGTTTTTAAGGACGGCTCCAAGATGAATTTTCGGGGAAGGGGGGGACCATCGCCATTAGACCTTTTCTTTTTAGCATATTTTTTTGAATAAAAAGCCCATAAATCGGAATAATTTTCATTTAGAGCCAGCCGCCCTTGATAGTTTTAGAGTCCAATAAATTACTGTTCAATACTAATTTTTGTAAATATTTATGTTATTTATAATGTAAAAATGGTAAATACACGTGTTTTTAAATAAAAATACCTAGGCGTGTTTTTTAACGACTTTTGGCTAAAAATTTAGTCGTGGCACCCTGCTTAATAACTGGCTTGGCACCACCTGTGTGATAAGGCACGAGCCGCCCCTACATTTATGACAAACGGATTCTCCAATTTCAACCCTTTTTTCATACGTAAACATGCACCAATGTAACAAGATAATTTATAATGAAAAACGGATTGTATATATCTATCTATCTGAATTAGGACGTGGTTCAAAGCCCACTTGTACTGAATCTCTGGGCTTACTGTACCCCTCACAGTTTCTATCCCATCAGATTGATGTTCTTGATGAATTCAAGAATATGTCTGATGGGCGCTTTCGTGATTTCTTCCGGTTCCGGATATTGTACCCTGAAGTACCATTCTCGTTCCCATTTAAGGTTCCGATAGCGGCATAGTATGTTAATAGGAGTTTCGTCTTTCCCTTTACATACTCTACATACGGAGTCATCAGATATCCCTAAGAGATTTAGGTGTCTTCTAAGGCCCGTAAGGAGTCCTGCTATGGCCTTGAGTTCGCTTCTACTAAGGTTTAGCAGTTGATGTTGTCTGCTCGTCGATGGCCCCTCTATGAATCTTTTGGACTGTCTAAGTCCAGGAAGTTACAACCAGAGCCTATGTTGTTCTCTATTTATTTGTTCCTTTAACACCCATTTAGCAGGTTGGTATGAGATACCACATGTGGGTTCTGGTCCAATAGGAGTTTTTTCCGCTCCCTTCCTTGCTATGAGGTCTGCTTTCTCGTTTCCAAACACTCCCTCATGTCCTGGCATCCATTTAAGGGTGACCTTGTTATGTTCTGCCAGGGCCTGGAGGGACTGTTGGCAATTAAATATTGATTTAGTTTGTACTTCTATCCTTTTTAATGCTTTAAGGGCTGCCTACCTGTCTGTCATGATAAAGATCCTCTTATCTCTAAGAAAATCATTTAGCATGACTTTGGCCCAGACATTTATTGCTGTTACTTCAGTCTGGAAGACTGTTGTCAGTGACCCCAGGTTCAAACTAGTTGTCTTCCCTGGGTTCACATGGTAGATCCTAGCTCCTGTGCTGTTTTTCATTTTCGAACCGTCTGTATACCAGATTGATTCGTTTTGTTTTTCCCTATTTTCCCGGCTTTTGGCTGGTATTTGAATATCGAAAGGTTTCTTGAAGTCGTGAATATTGGACGTTTTATTTGATGGCATTCTTAGTATCAGATTTTGTTTTAATTTCTCTAATATCATTGTGTGGTGTACTTTTCTCGAAAGTTCCTATCCAAATCCATTAGTAAACAGCATGTATGCCGCCGCCATAGCCTCCTTTTCCACCACAAGGTGTAGTGGAGGAAGACCTAGCAGTAGCTCCATTGCTGCTGTGGGCGTAGTTCTAAATGCCCCTGTTTATTATTAGACAATCCAGTCTTTGCGCCTTGTCTAATTTTCTGTAAGCTGTTAAGCTTTGATGCTTGTGCCACCATATGACTGATACGTAAGTTATAACAGGTACTACAATCATAGTGTAAAGCAGGTGCATCAAACTTGGTTTAAGCCCCCATACATTCCCTACCATTCGTGTACAGGCACATTAGTATTCTTACAGCTTTTTCTGTTGTTCTATCTATATGGCTAATAAAGAGTGATTCCAAGATATTAACCTCTTTTGCCATTTTTAGATGTTGTCCCCACATATAAAACCGCTTCATTCCTTAAAGGTTCCTTTTTCTTGTAAATGCAACAACAGAGGTTTTTGTCGGGTTTGTGGACAATCCTTCTTTAAGGCACAATCTTTCGACGATATTTAGTGCCCGCTGCATCCTTTCGGATACAACAGACCCAAATTTACCGTTTACTACGATGCTTGTGTCGTCTGCAAATTCTTGCGTGTATAAGTTTACTCTCTCTAACTTTCATAAGAGGTCAACAACCACCAAGGTCCACATAAGAGGAGATAACACTCCTCCCTGCGGGCGTCCCTTGTTAACTGAGACCTCTCCTGTTGTGTTTAGGAGATAACTGGTAATGGTTCTATGATTAAGCATGAACTCAACCCACCTCGTAATGCAGTGGGCTACTTCACGCCTGTGCATAGATCGCAGTATTGAATTGTATGAAGCCGAGTACAAGACTACTTCTATATCTAGGAAGACTCCTAGTGCTATTTCTTTGCTCTCCAATGCTTGTTTAGCCTGTTGAGCTAGCCTAGGTATGGCCGCATTGCATCAGTATATAGATACTGAAATGTAGATTTTTGAGAATTTTTGAAAATACTAACAGAAATGTAATAAAATATATATCGAGAAAGTTAATTTAAAAAAAAAAATCATGGTAAATGAATTTAAGAAAAAATTTTATTTTATAAGAAAGTAGAATGGATAAAGTATCCAAAAAAATATAATAAAAAAATATAAGAAAACACTTTCCACTAGGAAATCCAAAAGTTCAAGAAGTAAAAAAAAATACTGGAAAATGGGATCTAATTATAATAGTATAACACTTCTTAATGTATTTATCTGCATTTAAATTTAATATTTTTGTTTTCCATCCTCTTTTATATATTGCTGTAATACAGCAACTTAAAAATGTCATTTCAAGAAAATCTACTATTACCGCCGTAATTATATTTAACCTTATTATGTAGTTCGTTTGAGATTTACATATAAAAACCTATTATGGATGTTTATATTGTTACTAAGAAGTGTAAATTTTGTTTTGATAATTATTTTGCGAATTGTCCTTGCATTGTTCTGGTAAAAAAACATTTTCAGACGTTGTCTGTGATTTTTTAAGCTATTTTAGTATTTAGTTGATATTTTAGGATGTCTTACTATTAAAATATATTATTGCAACAGTACATTGAGAAAACTATTTTTTAGTTAGCAAACCGATATAATTACAGGTTATATTTTTAATAATAACAAGATTTGTTTTTAACGTCGTTATATATAAAACTGTGATCTCACTTATTGAACATAAATGGTCTATTTGTCATCAAACATTTAAATAATAAACTGCCACACTCAGTTATTGATAATTTAGATCTAGTTTATTGGTGGATTGTATAGAAACCTTAGATTAAAGGAGCAGAGTTGTACCACTGTACATAGCACATGTTTTTTAATCCAACCTTAAGTAACCCACCAATTAAAAATCACTGTTCCAAACAACGCCACCCGAATTGTTCCGACATTTCTATTCTACGCTCATCCCGCGTGAATGAATCATCAT